TGAAAACAAGCAAACGGTTGAAAACGGGCAAACGGTTGAAAACGGGCCAACGGTTGAAAACGGGCCAACGGTTGAAAACGGGCCAACGGTTGAAAACGGGCAAACGGTTGAAAACGGGCAAATTGTTGAAAACGGGCAAACGGTTGAAAACGGGCCAAAAATGGGTCCCATTTTTCCCAATTTCAGAAAATCGCTTCTAACTTTTCTTTAAAGTAACGGTTAGTTAGTTCTGGAACTTTGGCATCTGGTGCGAACCGCTGGTGTATATTCGAGCGGAGAAAGAGCGACGCTTTGCGCACGTTGTACGATGTGAAAAGAGCGCGACGAGATCCGCCGTCGCCCCTCACTGTCGCGGCCCTCGTTTCAAGAATTTCAGAGAACTTCACGCGTTTTCACGTGTCGCCCGAAAGTGGCTCGGGCGAAGAGCCAATGTAACGAAAAGGGTGCGTAACGTCACTACCGCTGCGCGCGCGCGCGGCAGCAGCCCACTTGTATGGCGTACTTGTTTTTTCGGCGGCGCTTGTCTGAGCGCAGATTGTGACGGCGAACGCTGCCGGTGATAAACGATTTCATGAGCGCCTTATCGATGAACATGGAGCGACAAAGAGCGCTGTGGGACATGACGCATGCCCAGTATACAAGACGCAGAATCTCGAGCGCATTGCGTGGCTCCGCATCGCAGTGTGGGTTCGAAAATGCAAACTCTGCCTAAACGTTAAAAAAAAAAGTATGTACAGGGTATTTCACGTAACTTCAGCCAAGGTTTAAAAAATATTTTGGTGCATTCTAGAAAGACGAAACCAAACGAATGAGGTTGGTCACTGTCTGTAGCAAGTCAGGCTGTTTCTTTTTTGTATTTTGCCCAATCAACTAATTAATTAAAATTAATGAATTAACTATTGAAACATTCAGTTTAGAGTTAAAGTTTCAATGACAAAGTTATACAGTCTCCTCAGAAACATACAATTCAGTGGTCTTTATTAAGAAACCTCTTACAAGTAACACGGTTCGTTTTTCCGGGCTTCAAAAAAAGTGCCCAAATTATATTTAAAAAAATAAACAAAAAAAACGCGAATTTGATTTGTCATGAGCGCAGTCAGCAGTTCTCTATTCACCATGCAGGCCTAGTTGATTCAAGTCACGGCTGAGAGCGCTGCAGTACAAGGCGCACATGCGCAAAGTCGCACGTTTCTTTCATAATTCACGGTTTTTTCAAAGCTAACAACAAAAAAAAAGTGTTAAGGCCTTGATACAAAAAACAGTAAATTGGATGTTTCTCAGGACGCTCTACAACTTTGTCATTGAAACTCTTGCTTTAAATTGAATATTTCAAAAGCTAATGAATTAATCTTAATTAATTAGTTAATCGGGAAAAATAAAAAAATAGCCCGACTTGCTCCAAGCAATAAACAACTCATTCGTTTGGTTTCGTCTTTCTAAAGTGCACCAAAATATTTTTAAACCGTGGCTCAAGTTCAGTGGAATACCCCTCTCTCTCTCTGTGTGTGTGTGGCCAAATTACTTATTTATTGTAATTGAATTGCATTACTAATTACTTTTAAAATAACTGAAATCTAAATAAATTACATTACAAATTACCACTACACGAAAGTAATGAATTACAATTACAAATTACTGCATAAGAGTAATGACGTTACTTTCAAGTTACTGTTTCATATATTTTAAAGGAGGAGCTAAACAAAAAGAAAGAATGCACGTACTCTGCTCTGCATTTGCAAAGTAAAAATCGTCAATCCCACACCAAGCCAGTGGGCGAAGACCGATAAAGCGAACCAACACTCCCCTCCCACAAGCCGAGCCCGTATATTGTTAACGTGCAGGCGATACACCCCCCAGCAACGGCGCTCACGCCGGATTGGCTGGCTCGTGGAGGGAGACGCTGCCGCCGACAACATAAGCAGCGGTTACGAGTTTCTGATGTGTCTCTGTCCTCATAATAGACTGACACTTGTGAAAGTGTCCACGCATGTTACGTCTAATTGCGATATGTGAATAAACTTGTTTTTGTCGGCTAAAATGTAAGCCTCATCAGCTAGAGGACCCGGGTTCAATCCACAGTGAGGGCTTCCTTTTTTTCATTTTATTTTCTCGACATTTTTTTTAGGCATCTGGCAATACAGTCAAACCCGTTTACATCAAGTTCGCAAAAAAAAAGCCGATTAGTTCTATATAGCGGGTAATTCGATATAAAAGTTTTAATGAATTCGACTCGCAAAGATCCGCTTTCTGCTGACATATTACACAATGGAATAGTCTTGCATCTTCTGCTTTTTCTTCACTGCAACCGCGATAACGATATGTTTCTGCGCTATCGACGGACTCTATAATGATGAGGCTGCTGCCTTCTATATTCGCGCGTTAGCGCCGAATTATGCCGAGAGCACGAAGCACGTCCGAGCAGGAGCACCTTCTCCTGCAGAGCGCCGTTTTGCTCTGCAAGTTGGCTTTCCCTCAGGTAGGTGGCCGCGTTGGGGGAAAGCCAGCTAGCAAAGAAAGATTTTTTTTTTTTTTTTTTTTTTTTCCGGGGCGGTTGCGGAAAAGGAAAATAATATTCTCTTTTGCGGGCGGAGCAGGGAGAGGGAGCACGGAGCACCCTCTTTCCGCTCTCTCCGAAAAAAAAAAAATTCTTGTTCTTTTTTTTTTTTTCTTTAAAACAAAAAACGAAAGCCCGCCCGCGTGCTTTGCAAGCTGGCTTTCCTCCAATGCGCACACTCGGCTTGGGGGAAAGCCAGCTTGCAGAGCAAAACAGCGCTCTTGGCAGTTCGATATATCGGTAGCGGCTGCTATTTTTGTTCGATGTAGAAGTAGTTTTCGTTATATATTATCACTGTAACAATACTGCGCAGAAACATTGTTTGATATAAGAGATAATTCGATGTAAACGGGTTCGATATAGTTGGGTTTGACTGTTTCAGGATTAAAGGGTAACAGCAAGGAAAAAACAGTTTTTTTTTAAACAGCCTAATTGGGACAAGCGTGTCACAAAACAAATGTTCCGCGAAGACACACACACAGTACTGTGTGTATGTTTTCTTTTACTGGTCCTCGTTTTTTGTTCTTTTTTAGCGTTTTGAATACTGAAATGTACCACCAACTAGCTTAAATGAACACCCTTTTAGAAATTGACTGTATTTACGTCTTTTTTTTACTCTTACCATTAAAAAAACGAATGTCGTCGACGGTAATTTGTTGAACTAATTGGTATGGGACTCCCTTTCCGGAGGTGCATGGGGGGACAGCGGGACTTGGGTTGGCGGGTGGACGCCGCGAAGCGGCGTGGACGGTGATGGGGGGGGGGGGGGGGGGGGGGCGAAGTGGCAGCGACGTCACTAGGATCAGCGGCACCCGGGGCAGTAGGCCGCCGCGATATTCCCCCCCGCCCCCTTCCCGCTCTCATGGCCCGCTGCGACAACCACCCCCCCCCCCCCCCACCCCCCGCTTCGCGGCCCGCCGCGACAGCCCCCTAAGCGCTGCCACCGGGGCGGTCCGTCCACCTGCTTCCCCCTTATGACGCAACTGCTAAGTGGGTAAATAGTTTTGTAATCAGCAGCCGCATACTGTCACCGCGAAGCGCCGTGAACGTAGGAGGTAGGGGGGGAGGGCGGGGGGAGGTTTAACGCGCTCCCGAGTGCTACACGCGCCGTCCGAATCCGTAAGTTCCCGCGCGTGGCCCAGCAGCCAATCTGGCGTGAGCGTCGTTGCTAGGGGGTTTATCGCCTGCGCTAGAAATACGCATCTCCGCATGCGTCTAGGTTCGGATTGCCTTCCTGTTGATTATTCCTGTGGGTTGTGTCTTCTTAGTGTGAATTTCTGGGCAGAATAATCTTCAAGCGGGACAAAAGCCATGTTTGGGGAAACCTATTCTTGGTCACAGCAACACGAACCCAGCAGGATTTAGTTGTCACGACCCTTTAGTCCGACCTGAGTGCCTACAAGAAACGCGCACATAAAGGCCCCCAGCCCGACCGTCACACCAGCTAGCGGCCACAAACGAAAACCGCATTTGTCCTTTTCTTTTTCGTTATGTCTTAAAAAACTTTTTTTTTTTTGCAAAGGCAAAACATTTTTTTTTTTTTTATTTTCGGGCCAATAAAAAGAACATGCCTGAAATATTCAAAACGTAATTACGATTTTATTACCATTACCGCCATAAGGTAATTCATTACATTACTAAATTACTTGCATCAAAAAGTAATAAGATACGTTACGAATTACTCTCAAAAATAATTTAATTACTGTGATTCAATCACAGTAATTTCATTACTGCTACCTCTGATACAATGTATATTTTTAAGCTTTACAAATTTGTTTAAAAAAGGCGTGAAAGTTACACTTATGCAGTTTGTGCAGGTTAGTTAGACGGCCAGGGGGACATTGTATGGGTGGCTAATCTTTGCGATAAGTCGGACGAATATTTAAGATTCGTTAACTAGCTTTTTAATGAGTGAAAATAGACTTATGGTTCCCATTAAAAACTTACTGAGCGTCATCGAAAACTATTAGACAGTTTTAGTACATCGTGTTTTCAGGCTACGCTAATCGTAGCAGGAGCTCGCGCTGCCACTTCGATGCATGCTCTGAAGCGCGCGCTCGTAGCGGTAGCGGGCCTTTGAAAACGGTCTACTAAAACTCCCTACTAAATCAACTCTTTTTAGAACGACTTGAAGCTCGTAGGAAATTCGGGAGCGCGTCGAAGTTAGCACTCGTGCAGCAGGCGCAAAGCTAGCAGTGGCGGAACGCGATAATGATCTCATCATCCGCGGTCCGCCGCTGCTAGCTTGTCTAAATAAAAAAAGAAAAAAGACTGCAACAAACTGCTGCTTGTTCACAAATGCCTCGCGTATAACGGTTTCCAGGCGAATCAAATCATCGAGAGTAGATCGACCTCGGCGATGCCCACACCTATTTCTATCAAGGACCTTTATAGCGACTCGGCATTTTCGGCCCGGATAAGCGCTGCAAGGGTGATGGACCCTCACCGCTGGAGGCGGTCTTCTCGGCCGCGCAGTCCACCTGCATCATGGGCAGGTAGTGCTTGGTGGTGGGTAGCTTCTTGCGCAGGTGCAGGAAGCAGCCCACCAGGAAGACGGCGAACCCCAGCGTGTCCGCCGCGCCGTCCACAACGTAGCCCGACGTCTCGCGAACGGACATGTGCCGGACGAGGCCCATCCGCGAGCGGGCCACGAGCCCGTCCAGGGCGTCAAACCAGGTGCGCAGCATCATGAGGAGCACGGCGCACCGCTGCATCGTCAGGCTGTCCTCGGTGACCACCCGGGCGGCGGCCACGGCGCTCAACAGGCCGGCCACGCTGATCATGTTGGGCGTCACGAAGTAGAACACCTCGCTGAAGCGCGTCACCTGCACCAGGCATCGGTGAAAGTGCCGATCGGGATTGCGTATCAGAATATAGTCCGATGAACGAAACATTCCATCTCACCCATTCTGTCAGAAAAAAATCGGAATCAGGTCGACGGTTTACAGGCGCAAGGGCAACCGAGGAGATATTTCAGAAAACAAAAGTTATGGAAGATACGCGGACAAAATGTTCAGTTGGGCTAATTGGTTCATGACCTGATGGAAGCGCCGAAGGACACGGACAAAGTGAAGGAGGTAAGGACAATACGGCGCGCACTCTCAACTGAAAGTGTATTAGGAACAAGCCGACTTAAATACTTTAATAAAACAACGCCACTTTCAGCCGTCCCACTATCTTTCTAAAAATAACATTTCCTTACCTAACAGACATGAGGAGCTGCAGGGGGTTTTGGTGACGTCAGAACGCCAAGCTCAGATTGGGTCTGATTGAAGGATAGTGGGCAGACCTCAAAGCAAGCTACCTCCAGGTCTACCCACAGTCCTTCAATCAGAGCCAATCGGAGCTCGTCGTTGTTCTGACGTCACCACAACCGCCTGCAAAAGAAGCAGACGAAAGTGCGCTCCGAATATCTAGCTCAAGCCGCGGCCAACACAGATCACGCATCATTCAAAAGGCACGGTGTTCGTTGCAGACACGATGACATGATTGTCTGCGGACAAGCAACAATCATGTTCCAAGCATGTTAGCTTCACACATATGTATGCTTCAACATGACTAAAGACAGTTCTTGTATGACCAATGCGACAGGAACCATCACACACTGAAGAAACACGCCTCAGACAGTAGAGAGTTTTAGAAAACCGTTTTCGCAGATCCGATACGGTACGATGGGCCCTAAGGAACGAACTGCGCATGCGCTAGTCTTCTGCGGTAGCGCATGCGCAGTTCGTACCGCAGGGCCCCATCGCACCGTATCGGATGCGCAAACACGGTTCCCTAACTCTGTCTAGTGTCTGCAGACTGTCTTCTGTATGACGTACTAGCGATGGGACCGCGGCTTGACGGTCTCGTCACACTGGTCATACAAAAACTGTCTGCAGATTGGTCGTAAGTACCTATGCGCGCGTCGTCAGGTGACGAGAAGTAGGACGGGCAGAAAGGTTGAGACGCTAGCAGACGATCGACGCTTTCGTCACCTTCACGCGGCTAGCTCGTACTGCAATTGTGGCCCATAAACCGCGTGACCCCGATCGACCAATTGGAAACCTCTCTGAAATATGGGCTCTCTAGAAGCAGGGGACAAAAATTGGGCTGAAGAAAAAAAAAGAAAAAAGTTCAATACCTCTCTTCTTGAAAATGAGGCTGTTCAAAATGGAAGCCTGGGCGTTTCGTTAAGGCACGATGATTAAAACGTACGGCGCACAAAGACATGTACAGAAGAAAGAGGACACACAATCGTTGAACTTATAACTGAAGTTTGATCGTCAAGGCGTGCAACCTTATATTCGACGACCAACCGAGAAAGAAACACACACAAACACATTTGACGACACACAAGTAGATTCCAGCACCCTTATCGCGGTCGCTGTTGTCGTGCAAGAAAGTGTAAAGGCCTGTTCACACACTTGCGTTTGGCTACGAACGACTGAGGCAAGCAAACTGATTTGTTTGGCCTAGTTGGTTAAACATTACGAAAATTAAAAAAGCGAAAGAGACAAGGACAAGAGGGAGACTACAGAGGACAGGCGCTTGTCCTGTGTAGTCTCTCTCTTGTCCTTGTCGTTTGCGCTTTTAATTTTCGGACTGAGGCAAGACCGGTTTTCGAAGCGCCGGTCACACTCTTGCGACCGAGTAAGACCGAGAGAGACAATAAGGACCGGATGCGCTACAGCGGACCTGGCTCTCAGAGATCGCAAGAGGCTTAAAAACCGGTCTGGTCTCTCTCGGTCTTACTTGGTCGCAAGTGTGTGAACGGGCCTTAAGCCTCTTGTACCGGCTTACGACCGTCGTCACAGGAAGTTTCAAAACCGGTCTTGTCTCAGTCGTCACAAGAGGCTTAAAAACCGGTCTTGTCTCAGTCGGTCGCACTCAACTGCAAGTAAGTGCGTGAGCGAATCTCAACTCTTCGCCAGATAACAAAAACAGACGGGGCGCTTACACAATCTTTCTGCAGGCCCACAATTATCTCCACCGCTTCGATGATTTATCTGGTCAGGGCATTGCCGCCTCTTCCAATGACTCAGCGTTCTCCCAATTCAGCAGCACACCCACAATCACGACAGTAAATACTCAAGTGTCCCGATGCCACCCTGTTTACATTGCAATATAGTGTTCCCATAATCTATCGTTCAGGCATCAGCCAGTTTGCCCTAGGTACTGTTACCACAGGAAAGCGGAATGGAATATACTTTTTCTGTACATCGAACAAACCGAATTTTGATACTTTTTAGTATATCCCAGAGACTCGGCTGTATGATGAACTTTTCCACAAAGCTTAAACAACCGATAGGGGCAGAGAAGACGACCGTGACATTTACTCAGGCAGCACGCCGACACTGGCCCAGCGTCGGGGGAATATTGCTCACAATATTGGCCCAGTTTCATGTTTTGGACCACGGCCCAGTATTAAGTCAATATCGGTTAACGATCGTTGTAAAAAATGGGCCAGAATCGGCGATATCATTGGAGTTCTGGGCAGAGATTGGCGAATATCGGTTAACATGGCCATGGCCGCTGCGGTGTCAGCGGACTTAGTTTGGCCAAGCCAACGTTACTAGAACCGATCAGTTGGGAAACTGCCATAGAGCCTGCTCGGAAAAAATGGCACCGATCCGTACTCGAGAACCGAGCTAATAGACCTTTTCATTTTAGTGGTTGCCTCACAGGCGGATAGAGGGCGCGGACGCAGTCGGCGCCATTAGGTTGCTTCAATTTGGTGGGTTTCGGTTTCAACGTAAACGCGTCTGTGTTGCTGTTTTACGTTGTTTTTGCTTAATTTTGTGATACGATTATTTTCCTTGTGGCACACAACCAATGAAACCGTGGTATTTAGCCACTTTGAGGACTACGAGGTGTATTTTAGCCTTAATTATGGGCTTTGTTTTTCCGACCCCTTTGATGTATCTGATTATGGTCGCTTGCGAAACATCTGACTGATGTACAGGGAAGATTACCATCGTCTACGGCCGTACCCGATGACACTAGTTTCCAGTAAAGACAACCAATGAAGAGACTAACACGTTAATATAAAGAAGCATATCGACAGCTTGATTAGCGATGTGCTGAATCGGCCAGAACAGATGAACTCGCGAGTTTACTACTCACTGTTTGGTTTTCGTGGGCACCCAACCTTTAGTTAACTTCGCGGACTAAAACCGTATCGTGTAATGACGCAGGTAATTGATATAAAAAAGTAGTATCGTCTCGACCTCTTTTTTGTAATTCAATACTCGAGCATCTTTTGACAGGCCGAGTAGGAAATTTCTTAAATTATCAACACTGCTGAACTACTCATAAGGAGCATTTCGCGATATAGGCCCTAGGAAATAAATTATTTTTATATTAAAATTTGCTTACTCAAGATATGATGTAAGTGACAGGTCCGTCAAGTTGAATCTGGCATTTGTCTCCCGCAAAATTGGCGAAATAAAGATAAAGGGCGCAGGAGGAGGAATACCTCGGAAAGTTTTACTGAATTCTAGCGCTAGGCGCCACTTCACGGACCTTTGTTAACAAATATTTATTTGTTTGAACAGATTTGCGTAGTAAATTTCGGCATCGCCAGCCACTAAAATTGAACCTCTAGTCGCCATCGACAATCTTGGACTCAAATAATTGTTATAAAAACGGCTCTTTTTTTTTTTCGGCGTGAAGTATTGTGGTATTTAGATACTGGCAAAAGTTAAAACAACGTACGCAAAAAAAAAAAGAAAAAAAGAAAAGCGTTGTCATTATTACCCATGCGCCGAACCCAAACTTCGTTTTAGATTTGCAAATAGAAATGAAGTTATTTCTGTGTGCACGCTATTCTAAAACTCGCTACTGTTAAGTGTCTGTGGAAGTTTCTTACGCGGGAAGACCCAACCTTTGTGTTAAAATAAAAGACTCGAAATGGGAGCGAGCACAGTATACAATTTCTTAAACTTCATAAGTAAACCGACCAACCGAATAATTACGCCGCAAAAAAAAAAAAAAAAAAAAAAAAAAAAAAAGATTGAGAATCTTATACACATGTAGGTGTGATATTATGAACAGACAAATCGTCTGATGTTGACGTACCATTACTTCTAGCCTCAAATAAAATGCAAGTTAAACGCTCGTTGTCTATCTCCTCCACGAGTTTCCTCACATCATCAAAACAAACTGTTTTTGATATACTATGAACACAAAGAATGATACTTTCAGGAAATACAGATAGTCTCCTTGCGCTGACTCTTGACGCCTTCCGATCCTAAATGCGCAATATAAATATACGCGCTTCTTACTGAGAATGTTCCGTCACTATTAGTTAACAAACCTCGGTTTCATAAGGACCTTTGAACTCTCGTGATGTCTTAGTCGTGGAGCAGTTTTCGAACTTAAGGCAAGAAAGCGCGGTGAAACGCAACGAAAAACACGGGTATAACGCATCCGCCAAGGCGCGGAGGGGAGAGCGGAGCAGCAAGTTGAAGCAACCTAATGGCTGCCGCGTCACGTGGTTCCAAGATGGCAGCGCCCATGCGGAGGAGGATGAAAAGGTCTATAGCGATCGCAACGCCACCATTTCTCCCACACCGGTCACTCGGGGAACTGCACGTGACTTCTATTTCGGCTGTAATCGGCCATTTTAGCTCCGGAACAGATATGGTTAAAGGAGCTTCAACGGTGCCACCCCCGACTCCCAAGAGGACGCGCCGCGAATTACTGCTGAAGTTAGGATGCATCTAGGTCGGGACCAGGGTTGTAAAAGTTACTTCAAAAATGTACCTAAGATACAGTTACAGTTACTCATACGAAAATGTACCTAGGTGCGTATCAAGCTACTCGCTTAAAAATGTACCTAGGTACAGGTACAGTTTCTTCAAAGGTACTTTTTATTTTCACGTCAAGTATTTTTCTAAAATTTGTCACATTATTATTGGAAGTAAATCCTTTGTATAATAGGATGTACACAAAAATAAGTTTGATAAACGTGCTTTATTGGTGTCAATGGGAGAAATAAGGCAAAACGCTCTCACTAGAGCATTCGAAGACTTTGTCTTTTTCCCTTGAGTGCTCGATTTGACCTCAGACTCAGGACTTCTTCGAAATGTTCATCCGACATCTATGATCGCAGTTTGGTAGCAATTGTTGCTCCTATGCTCAAAACGCGCTCCACCGCCGCACTGCTTGGAAGCCCTGTGTTGAATTTTAAGAACAGGCTTTTCAGCAGCGGCATGTGCTTGAGGCAGTCCACACTTCTTGTCGGAGCAAGTTCGGTGTACTGTACAAACTGCTGCTCCCATGAAGCAGATGAGGACGATTTTTCGCAGTTAAAGAAGTGCTCACAGTCTTCTTCATCCTCACCACTTTGTTCACCTGACGACGCTTTTTCTATAGTTGATGTCCGCATAAGTTCGTTCTTTAGATAATCCCAGGCCCGCTTCCATTCCACTTCGTTGCCTATCCATGCAACCTTAAATTTTGGATGGCATACGACAGATATTATCAAATGTTTTTTTTTCCTCCATACCTGCAAACCTCTTATTGATCGCCGCGATTAAGCTCTCGACCACCGGGCGGCAGTACCTCAAGTTCTCCGTCAGCAACGCGGACATTTTATTGCGAAGTGAAGCCACTGTAGGCAGGAGATATGCCATAAACATGCCGTTTTCGCGCTGGAGGAGAGTTATAGCTTGTGCGAGAGGTGTAAACACCTGAACATACTCATCAATAAAGTAAATGTCTGCAGCTTCGTGAATCGCGGAATTTTAAAATTCTCGCAAACTTCCTTCAAACTTCAATTTGACAAACTAATTCATTCGCCTTAAAGAAAAATTTGAAGAATTTGCGCAGGATCGCTCCCACGACCCTTCGGTTGCGAGCCAGACACGCTACCGACTAGGCAACGGAGGACTTGGGAATGGCACTGCGATCCTGCCATCATTAGAGTGCCTCGATGTCTGTGTCAGCGTAAAGGCATTATCGCATCGAGTGTTGTTAGCGCGTGCTGAGCAAACACATAAATAAACCTTGCGGGGTAAAATGGCATCAAAGCACTGGCAAAAGCTTCTCGATCGCGCCGAGAGTGTTTATCATAAGAACTAGGTCGTTGTGTGACTCAAGAGCATGAGAAGCGGTTGAGAAGGCCATGCGAATGGGGCCCGATATCCCTATAGCGTTCAACTCTTAAAGGCGAAGGTTAATCGTCCTCCCAGTTTTTTTTTTCTTCACAAACATTTCCAGTTTTGTAAAGTGCACAATTGGAGTTCGATTTATTGCGTGGAAACACTACGTGATGTTAAATTGCTTTACGACTGTAATTATAATTTATTTTCAGTTATATGTTATATTGTATTATCTACGATTTTGAGGAAGTAAATAGAAAAGTACCTGTAAAAAGTAACTTCACTTAGTTACAAGTTACTGGAAAATGTACCTAAGATACAGATGCAGATACTGAGAAATCAAAGTACCTAGGTTTGTACCTCAGGTACAACAAAAGTACCTAGATACCGATTTACAGATACTTGTACCTAGGTACTTTACAACCCTGGTCGGGACGCGCTACCTAAAGTTGCCGCTGAGACGTGGTTGTATGAAAACAATATTAATTGTGCTGCGGACCTTGTAAACTAAAGATTTTAGAAAATATAGCGCGGCCCCCGCTTTGTACTAATCTCAAATAAAAGTTACTACAAAAAGAGCTTTCTCTGTTTGTTAGTACGCAAAACCCCAGTGCCAGCCGCTGATCGCCCGGCGCGCCTTCGGCGGGCCCGTGGCAGCAGCGGCGGCCGGCGCGATTTGCCGGCGCGATTGACCGTTTCAGTGTTTTAGAAACGGTCAAGAATCCCAAATACGGGCCGATATAGCCGGTTCAGACCCGAAAAATTACCGGAAAACGGCGCTGGATACTTTATATCAGCGTGGCGTTGGCCGGCCCAAGTGATGTTCCGCCGACATCGGCCACATCGCAGTAATACTGGCACGATCTTTAAGTTCCAGCGCCAATATCGGCAGTATCAGAATGATATTGGCCAGACTCCTCCGAGCCGATGCCAATATTGGCACAATATTGTGTGGTGCCTGGGAACAACTCTTTCCTATTTTCTTCCAGCCATAAAAAACATTTATGTAAACATAGAACCACAGGAACTTTGTTCCATTTTTTCCTTTGGGAACGTCTACCGCCTATTTACAACGCCTTCTATTTTGATTTCTAGCAACGAAGTGCCTGCAACTGATGTTAGAAGATGTTCCGGATACTCCGCCTTCCGAAGACGGGAAATTTGAGTGTCAAAACTGACCTGTGATAAATAAAAACATGACTTATTTCAGGCATTCGCGAAGCACAGATCAACGTTAATTGCCCCTTTTACTAATTTGGAATGGGAAGATTGTAAGCTAAAAACGGTTTTAGTCCACCGGGTTCTACCAACAAACGCAGTTTTTTGAACAATGATAAAGTCTGCGGTCGAGGAAACGTATGGACCCACTTACAGCTAGCACACGTGTCAAGACTAATTGTGATAGGCAGTTACCAAATACAGACAATGTATTTGTCACCAAGTGGTTGGCCTTCATGGTTGGTACAACGTAAAATCACGAGAAAGCCGTCAGCGATTAGGTGTCCTCTTTGTTCTGCCCTGTCTTTGTGCGCTGTAGGTTTTAATCGTCATGCAAATGAAGATCTTTGAGGGTCCACTGTTTACTGACTCGAATAGTGCTGCGTCAGTCACAGCCTTCCCAGCGCGAGGGAACCGCCCGATAACTGGTGCTTTTAGCAGTTCTCTATAGCTGTTGGAGTTAGCCCGTGCTGTGAAGACAGCCGGTCCTTCAAACACGCACTTCCTTCCTGCTTACAGGGGACTTCTGCAGAAGTATGTGGTGCTAAAGCCCGCTTTAAAGGAACTTCGCGTGAGGGAGGCCACGTGGAATTGATCAGGTAAAAAACACGAGCGCAATGCAAACCCCCGTATGTTGGTTTCACCGAACGTAAAGCTTTACCGACCAGACGGCGACATGTGCGACGGCGCACATTTCTTTCAAAAGTGCATTTCAACAGAAACAATGTTCCTACTTCGACGCTTCGCGTAATTGCCGTTGGGCGTCGTCGGATCGCCTCAGTTGGGACTCAAATACCAATGCAAGGATAACAAGACGGACACCAAAGCGCCTACCGCAAAAGAAAAAAAGAGAGGCTTTAATTCCAGCTCAAGACACTTCTCTGTCAAGTGCATTTTTGTTTTGTCCATTTTATCTAAAAATCGTTTCCAAAAATTACAAAAAAACATAAAATCAATTTCAACCGCTGTTCCACTAACAGAAGCAAAAACCCATTCGCTCTAAAGATTTTTTTCTTTCTTTTACCCTCGTCAAAGGTACATGTACTGCGGGAAAAGGGGCAAACGGAGGAGGTTGCTGAATTCAGAAAATGGCGATCATTTGCCACAAATGTTATCGTTTTTTCTTGAATTTATTTTAAGCCAGATCCTTGAGAGAAAAAAAGAAAACAAGAAGCTATACACACCGTTATACCGCACCGCGGCCCAGCTGGCGTTGCGAGCGTGAGCTATTATGTAAAGAAGTTTTCTTGAATTTTCCGCCCCTCACGTCTCTATATTCTTTTCCGCACAAACTTCGTAAGCATACAGCTTTGACAGCATTTTCAGTTTGCGCAACTTCGCAAGTTAAAAAGAGAAAAGAAAAAACAACAACAACGAGCAATACAGTTAGAATTGTCCAGAACGTGCTCTCGCCCCCGATCACAAAACAGCAGCAACATAAGTCGGTATAATTCATTAGAGCTGAAAAGCGAGGACAAAGCTTAGTCACAAACGCGCGCGCATACACACGCAAGCTTGCACCAATACACACACACACAAACAAACACAGACGCAGTTATCAAAATGGGATTCGTGCATGAAACAATTCAAGAATTTCATTTTGAGTTATGTTTTCAATTGCAACATGAAGGTAAAAGAAATGCTAGATCACATCATTTTAGACTGCATGAAGTCAAGAAGAAAAAAAAAAGAAAACGTTTGCTGGGGTTTTAAACAGCGAGTACGTTTGCGGCGCAGTTCCAGCCGCCCAAACTCCGAACAAACAGGATAGAACAAAAAACAGCTACGCCTCGCTAAGCGGACCTCGTGGACGAACAGGGTAAATACACGCACTTTTGTCTCGTTAATATAAACCACTTTTTCTTTTTTTTTTTTGAGGGGGGGGGGGGGGGAAGGAAGTGGGGGCAGCGGAGGAGTCCATGTTGGAAAGTTTTAGGTACGCTTTGGGTCCCCCGCAGTTTGGAGCGTCAAACTGCGCATGCGCAGTGCACCGCCCAAGTCTGTTGAGGCTTCTTCGTCTAGACATCCCTATTAACGAGACACGAGTGCAGTTTGACCACAGCCACCATGCTGCAACGCCACTATAATTATCATCTCTGATAATCATAATATTGATAATGGGTGATGATGATGATGATGATGATGATGAAGACGACGACAACGACGCTGCGTAAAACCGCCTTCAACGATATCACTCACCTGGTTGAAGAGGTTGGCGAGCGGCGCGTGGATGTAGTTGTTCACCTGGTCCATCATCATCATCTTGACGGAGAGCCCCGTGAAGGGCGAGAAGAGGCCCGAGGGCCGGGAGGACGGCGTCGGCCCGACCAGGCTCAGGCTCTGGATCCGGTGGTACAGCGCCACGTCCATCCAGAGGAAGTAGGTGAGCAGCGCGAAGAACACCAGCAGCGTCACGCGGTGCTCCAGGAACGACATCTTCAGCTGGAGCGCCACCTCGCCGCCTCACTCCGGGACGCGGGGTCCCGCTGCCCCGTCGTCGTCGTCGCCGCTACGCACTGCAACCGGCCAAAGTTCCAGCGTAACTATATAGGGTGCCTGAATAGGCGTCTCCAACTGGTGTGTTTTTAGCGTCCTATTATTCCGCCCCAGGCATGCATCGAAAGTGGTCCCAATCAGTGGCAAGCAATGACGTCACAGAAGCCCGAGCGTCGAGCTGTCAGATGCCGCAATCCTAGCGGTCATAAGGCGTCGAAGTTGCGACAAAAAGTACGGATGGATGGATAGATGTTAATGGCTACACCCTTTGTAACGGGCGGTATCTTGCGCCACCTAGCCAAAGTCTTTGCGAGTGAACGCGTACCAGTGAACGCGAGTGTCGCTGTTGTTGCGGCGTTTTAATTCCCGGTTTGCCTAAGACGCCGGTGACTGCCAAGCTAGAGAGCGGTCTGCAGCAGAATATGACAACAGCATAGCACCTTTATGACGTCATCAAGTGAAAATCGAGGTACCATTTTTTAAGACGCGCTAAACACACACCACTCCGGGACGCGTTCGTGCAGGCACTGGTATAAGGGCCGCCCAGACTAGCGAGAAAACGCGCGTGGCACGCCGATCGCGGCAAGTAACAAAATGTCGCCGAAGCACAGTCAGCGCCACGAGCACGTGCAGAGACACGCCCTTTATCTTCCCGCTTAACCGATTTATCGGCGCGCCGGGCGCGTTTTCTCGCTTGTGGGCGGCCCTATAGGGTGTATTCACTTGACGCATTATTTAAAAGCGCTTTTTACTGCCTGCCATACATTGCTCGCATTCCATTGGGTTAGGCGCGTTGCGCCTATATGGTGTTGCGTGTAGCTAAGCCACAGTAGACGAAACAATTAAACAATAGCTATTGTGCTGCGTCGTTTCTTTCGCCGTTCTCGCCAGCTCCATGCAAAGGCAAAACTCGACGTATCCGGTCGCGGCTCTCTCGACTTTACGACCACGGCCCGAGCCGCTGCAACATCGACCGTGCCGAATGATCCAACGACGCAGAGTACGTTGCCCTTTCTTTTGTTCAACTGTCTGCCAGATTGTCTGAACCACTTGCCAAACGGTGCGCTGAACCGCATGCAAGACTGCATGTAAACACCGCGTGGTGATATGCTATGCAAAAATCTCCGCATCGAGCCATGAGCTTTCTGCATTTGATACACACTACATCGCACGAGCAGCCAAAACCCGTAGAACTTTTACTGGGTTCCTGAACGGTCAATGACTACGAGAGCATAGCTCAACACGCGGTGGCGGAACACAGAGACCGATACACAGATATCATGATCCGGAGTTGAGATACTGTTATACGGCGATTGGGTCCCAGAGGGGCGAAAGGTTACGCGCATCATGAACGAATATCAAAACAAATGAAATGTCTGGTAGCGCGGAAAATGACACGATCATTACCTTTGCGGAGGCGAGCCAATAAACACGTAAACCAAGGGGAAACACGAGCCCACCTTTCACGTAAAAATAGGCGCGTGTCATTTATTTTACGTGATTAGTCTTTAAAGGTGCAGCGGCGAGATGTTTCGGTGGCGCCCTCATGTGGTTACCTTACGTAACGTCATTACCTTGCGAACAACAAGTTCCATGGTGTTTGTAATTAGCATGGCGGAAGCTTGAACTCATAGCGTTCTTGAACCAACAGTGTCAACAACGTCAAAACTGAAGTCCTCACGTTCCTCTTATTTCCGTCCATGAGAACTTCTTTGCTGACGTCATAGTCAGCATTCCGCCAATCGTGGAAGGCCGACCACCGCGACGTTTTTGATTGCGCACGTCGCCAATAGCGTAGAAATCTTTTTAACTTCACGCCAGCTTACTGGCACTAGTGGGACCCAAGAATACTCGAACGCAACGCCACTGACCAAGAAGCGTATTCGTCGCGGTGGAATTCGAAGGATAAAAGCGGAATTCTTCTTTCGGTGTTTCGCACGCAAAACTTGATGACGAAATTGCGGGGACAACGCCAACAATGCGATCCCCGGAATTTCGCCATTACGTTTTGCGACTCCCGTTTAAGACGATATTTAAATGCGGCTCATACATTGAAGAGGAGCACTGCGCGCGGCATTCGATTTTCGGCTTGTTCTGGCCGCGCTTGAAGGGGTAAACGCAATTTGTCTTTTCTCACATTTTCGCAACTGCCATTGTGTGAAGAAATAAAAAGTGAAAGCCGTTTGCAACTCCCCGTAACACCAAATTAGAGCGCAGCTCTTGAGGAGGAGGAGGAAAGGGTACTGGGGCGGGTGAAGTGACCTGGGGGGGGGTCACGTGACCTTGGGGGTCACGTGACGATGCCGATGATGTCATCAGTGACGTCACTGATGACGTCATCAGTGACAATGACGATGCGGACTCCGATGACGTCATCCGCGATGATGACGATGACAATGCGGATGTCGGTGACGTCATCCGTGATGATGACGATGACGATGCGGATGTCGGTGACGTCACTGATGACGTCATCAGTGATGATGACGATGACGATGCGGATGCCAGTGAGGTCATCAGTGATGATGACGATGCGGATGCCGGTGACGTCATCAGTGACGATGACGTCATCGAGGAGGTCACGTGACCTCGGCCGGGGGGTCACGTGACCTTGGGGTGTGGTCACGTGACCTCGGGGGTATCACGTGACTTCGGGGGTCACGTGATTTGGGTGTCACGTGACCTTGGGGGTCGCGTGACCTTGGGGTGACCTTGGTGACGCCGACGGCGACGCTGACGCCGCTCAAGCCGGGAACGGGCCCCTAAGAGCTGCGCACTAAAAAAATGAAAGCCGTTTACAACTCCCTGTGACGCCAAACTAGAGCGCAGCTCTTGAGGAGGAGGAGGGAAGGGTACTGAGGGTCATGTGTTCTCGGGGTCACGTGATCTTGGGGGGGAGGGGGGTCACGTGAGCTCGATGTTACGCCAACCGCGACGCCGACCGCGACGGCGACGCCGCTCAAGCCGGAAACGGACGCATAAAAGCTGCGCTCTAAAAAAAGAAAAAAAAAAGGCAATTTTATAGGTTATGATTTACGAGGAAATTGACGGCACGTGAGCCATACGTCAACTCAGTTTTCCCGCTATATTTAGTGGGAAAATTCACGTCTTGTGGCCCACAACCGTAATTCAGTTTGCCCGCTAAATTTAGCAGAAAACTGACTTCAGGTGACCTACACACCAATTCAGTTACCCGCTACATTTAGCAGGAAACTTCACGTCCTGTGACCTAGACAGCCATCCAGTTTCCCCGCTAAATGTAGCGGGGGAAATCGATGTAAAGTGACCTAAACACCAATTAATTTTCCCCGCCAAAATGGCGGGAAAGTGACGTCACGTGACGTCATCTATACACCATGGAATGTCAAAGAATAATTCCAAGCGGTACTTACCGAAGGTACAAAGACTGTAATGTCCCTGTGCGTGTTACTCATACAGTCATTAACCGTTTCGCACCAACTCCGAGGGCAGCCGACGGTACACAATGCGACGGCGTCAATCGAGGAACGCCCGAATCGCATCACCGCAGCGCTCGTCGTCTGCGTATGTTTACACCGGCTAAATCAATCAGGCAAAGTAAATCTGCCATGACCCTGCTATTTTTTTTTCTGCGAGTGACTAGTTTCGCTAACGCACAAACAACCAGCGCCGTCACCATGCGCTTTGGGCGCATGGCGCAAGCTGCGCATGCGCGTCACGGCCAACCGCCGGGGTGTGGACTCCGCGCACGCGCAGTGTGTAACGGGCAACGCTACGTCGAACGCACAGTGCTCGCGTTCGCTCGTGTACGCAATGCCCCAAAACTCGCTAATGACATGTACATACACTGAATAGCTAAGCCTATATATTTAGGGATGTGCGAACGCCGGTTCGAATCGAATAGTGCACTGCCTGCGTCATTCGGGACTTTCACGGTAGAAGGGACAGCCGTGACAACCGGTTTTCGTAACGGTTTTAAAGCTCGTGGTGACATTGCATGCCCTGTTCGATTCAAACCGGTATTGGCTCACCTTTACACGATATTCTTCTCCAAACAATTTTGGAGACAGCCGGGTAAATTTTTCGATATTTTTCTACCGTGAACATTTACATTTGTTTCCTTCCCATATTTTCGAATTTTTACTTAATTCCGTTTTACCAAAAATATTGAATAAATAAACGCTTAAGCGTCATCGACATTTAAGCCTCTTGTGACTGCTTATACCACCGGTGCGCTGCTGTGCAGTCAGTCGTAACCAGTCTCGAGAAACTGGACAGGAGAGACGGGACGACTGCACCAGAGTCGGTTAAAAACCGGTTGTGGAGCAGTCAGTCGTATAGTGTGAACTATACGACTGGCTGCGAGTGTGAACTAGCCGCTTATTTAAGCGCATTGTAAAGTCCATTCGGTAATTTGGGAGACAAGTAAATCGGCTCGCCTTTGCAGGTATACAGTTCCTTCTCCACTTCTCGCAGAGGAGAGCACCCGACTGGTGGACGGTTCCCCAATCGAGTGTGAACGAAACCACTGGGAGTCTGAGGAACGCGGACTGCACAGCACGGAAGTCAAGCAGAAGAATCAGAGGCCCTGACTGGAAGAAGTGCAGCGAGCGATAGAAATCTCCCCGGTATCTCCCGGGGGAGCGATGCATATCAGCGTTCGGAAGAGGAGCTGCCCGACTCGCGCGATGTGTTCGTGTGCACAAAGTCCACGGAAATTTCTCCCACTTGTGCCAATGCCACTTGTGTCAATACGATCCCCCATTAAACGAAATTTCTAGCGGATCAACGCAGCATCGCCGCCAGCGCAGTTCGTATCGTCCCGCGACGTGCGCGACGCTATGCGGGGAGCAAGTTCGTCTGCTTCTTTTTTCAGGGGCAAAAGGGTGAAGATTGAACAGAGGATCCCTGGGCAGTGCAGCACGAGGTTTAGCTCCCCGCGTGGGCAACAGACTCGGTCACCGATCCCCCGAGGCAGCTAGACAATAGAGAGTTTTAGTAGACCGTTTTCGGTTTCCCGCTCCGCTCTATGGAAAGCGGAGTC